CAAATCCTGTTGTCCTGTTTAGATATGGATTACATTCAGGTCCTGCTGTAGATATCCTGAGTGGATGTAAGGTGATTTCCACCATGCGGGGATGTCCTTAACCCCAACATGGCGCGTCCCAATGGCTGATAGGGAACTTCCTGCCTAGCAGGAAAGGTGTCTAATATACTGAATAAACACCCGCGGATCAACGAAGGACATGATATAGGGCAGCGGCTATATCATTACTAGCTTTGGTTATGAGGGATCATTTTCCTCATAATCAAACTAGATAGATAGAATCTACCGCGAATTTCAGGCTTCGCTCAAGGTGTTACGCGACCCGTGCCGAGGGGTATACGACATGTATGGTAGCTGTGCCTGAACCAAACAGCTATCGCTCACGGAGCCTCTAGGATACCAGGCGACCCACTAAACATGAAAACATAACTTAAACATAAATGTTATATTACATTGTTACTTTGTGAAGTTATTCAGAGAGATGCATAATGTCACAGATACATTGTGGGAATAGGCTTTTGTGCCTCTTTTAAATATTACAATGTAATGTTGATAGTAAATATTGTATAAATATATCAGGAATCACATAAAATCGATGTTACTTTATAATGTATATTCAATGTTACTGGATACATCTAAACAATATTGTATTTTAACATTCTAATCATTTTCTAGGAGTTTTTATAGGTTATGTCTATTTTGTCTGGAATCATCAAGACAATCATCTAAATGATCTTCACAAAAGACAGAGAAGATGATCTATCCCTGAATAAGAATTGATCTTACCGTACTCCTGGGAGACTATAAAGTATGATCCAGTTACATAGTGATAATTTGAGACAGATTAACTACTATATATATCTATGTATCATTTTATTTATTATGCTTCATGAATCCAGTCATACCAAGCTTAGCTTTATGATTTCTGCATAGTCCAGTGATCTCTTACTGACTTTCTGAAAAGTAATAGGTATATATATCCGAGTTTTTGGAAGTTTTCTGACTTATTTTGAAATTCTTTTCTATGTTCTTCTTCTAGCTATGACATATAACTCACCCATTATTTTTGTAATCCGTGAAATATGAACACAATGCGTATTCACGAATCCCTCCTACTTTTTCACATATTATGAAATGCAGATACATATTGGTTGCATTTCTATATTCCAGCAGAACAAACCTGGAATCTAAATAGGTATCATGAGCAGTTCATATTTCCATTCGAGTCTATTTGAGTCCTAGACTTCTTTAGTTCTTGACTTACTTTAATAACTACGAATAATATCTGAAAATCAAGTTTAACACTGATCACACTGTTTGACCTGTTCACCATAATAGACAACAAACAAAATGGCTGGAATGGAATTGAATCGACTTTTGACAATTGACAAGGTTACTTTGCCGTAGGAGGAAAAATATTATCCCCTTATATCCCCTATACATGTTAGCTACGTTATAAGGTGGTGAAACGAAAACGTTGCACAATTAACATAACAACTCTGTCTGAGTTATATCTGATGAACCTAAAATCATAATATCACAATATTATCTAATGGTATTGATATCAATATTGATGTAACGTCTCATAAACGTTTTACTTCATAATATTATGTTGGATACTTCAGAAGGATATTATGGCAATGTTATTTCAACAATATCACAAAACTTATAACTGAAAAATATTTTTGTTATGTATCATGTTTAGTGGGGACCTCCTAGTAGTACCTTGCCTTGCTGCGGTAATGCGTGTTTGACTCTGAAAAACCGATCATATCGATAGTTATTGATACCAGTCAAAATTTGGCAAGAATCGTACGAATAATAGCTGAGATGGTGAGGGCAGGGAAAACGTTCAAAGTGAGACACGCTATACAGGGTGTCCCATAATTACCCTGCCAAACTTCACCAGCGACTTCTACGACCGAAAATAGATAGAAAAGTTCGAATGTACATAGGTCTCAAAATGGCTCCTAAGGGAGTTACGGCCACCTTGCAGGGGGCTTCTGAAGATGGTATTTCCTGAATATTGTCGAAACGCCGTGAGATAAAATGATGAAATTTGGTACAAGAACTTAACTTTTTATGCTCAATGCAGTAGATATAAAATGATTTCAGTATTTGATTTATGAGTATTTAAAACAGGGTGGAGCTAATCTAAATATCACCCTAATTTTTTTGTATGCAATTTTTTCGATGATATGGTCTCGGATTATGAATATCTGAGAATTTTTACAGAAAAAAGGTACTCCTATTACATGTTGATTAGATGAACCATTTTCGAGCGAAATCGATTTAAAAATATCTATGAATCTTGAGAATTACCCACAATATTGCAATAGGTATCAAATCATAGTGGCTATGGAAAAAAATCAACGTCCATTGGTTCAACAAACAATTTCTTGGAATAGGAGAATGATAATATGAACTTACCCCATTTTTTGTGTCTCATTCTTTATTGACAAATTGAAAATAAATTGTTTGCAAGAATGAGCACTCGTTGCAATATTTATAATATACCATTTTTCAGTGAAATTAAAGCTTCTATAACATGTCATGAGTATCTGATGATCCCAATTTGTTCTATTGGATTCATTTGATAATTTATTCCATTAACAAATCTCAAACAGCTGAAACAAAATATGTAATTCCAAATAAAACTACAGAAAACTACAAGTGCCTATAACATGAACATGCTGAAAAGCGACAGCCAGTGAATACCTGTGATACACAGTGGAAAATAGGACACATCCATTTTTTGAGTTCTTTCATTAGCCAGGTAGCCGTGCGGACAGACTGTCAATATTCTGATCCGCATTCGCTTGCCGGTCGTGGGTTCGATTCACAGCGACTGCAGACATTTTTCTGATGGCCCAAGAAAGTGTTAGGGATCACACGTTAAAAGGTAAGGCCCCCGTCATTCCTTGCTCGCACAAGACTCTCGAATACTTCTGAGGGTTGCTCGTGAGGGGGCAACCGAATGACGGATAGAACAATTTTAGATTTTTTATTATTATTATAAAATATAAATGATTCTGCATCTGAGACCAGAAAATATCCTAGAAAAAAATACGTCGAATTCATATCAACCAAAGACATTTGAATAATACCATTGAAGTCTAGATTCTGGTAATATGTAGTGTTCTTTATTTGTCTGTTTTTGACGTGTCTGAAGGCAATACTAATTAATACATTATACCTGAAGAACGCCCTTATTGCATGATGTCCTCGATATGAATATGCGAAATCTTATTAATGGTCACAGAAATCGGTCAAATAAATTTCCATCGATATCAATGCATATTCTCGCTCGACGACTCATGGCGCTTGTGGCTCTCAGAATTTGAAAGCGATTTCCTCTTAGTTCATTTGCTGCCAACTCTATTCGTTGAAGTAATTCTTTATGTGTGTTCAGTCCAGTTTCATAAACCAACTCTTTCATATGACCCCATGAAAAATAATCTAGAGAGTTCAGGTCCGGTGAACGTGGTGGCCAAAGAATGAGACCATTACGGCCTATCCACCTTCCCGGAAAATTCTCACGCAACCATGCCCTAACGCGCTGTCCATAATCTACTGGAGCCCCGTCGTGTTGGTAATACATATTTTGCAGTACATTGAGAGGCACATCTTCCAAAAGCATGCCTAGGTTATTCTGAAGAAAGTTATGATACTCATCAGCATTCAGGCGGTTGGGTAGGACGACAGGTTCAATTAACTGATCTCCTATCATTCCTGCCCATGTATTTACAGAGAAACGATGTTGAAAATTAGAACGTCGGACCACTCTAGGATTATCATTTGCCCATACATGGGTGTTGTGCATATTGAACACTCCGTTTCTGGTGGAGATGGATTCGTCGCTCCAAAGAATGTTCGATTTCATGTTCTCATTATCTAAAATCCATCAGCAAAACTAAATCCTAGGCTGAAAATCGCCTGGCAATGAATCCTGCACACGTTGGTAGTGAAATGGATGAATTCCTTGAATTTGTAATATTCTGCCTATCTGAAATCAATCAATTGTTATTTGATCGCCAAGCTGTGTACTTACATTGCACGTTACTGTTGCCCTACGCACGTTCAAATTTCTGGATACAGTCCTTATACTAATGTTCGGATTATTATCGATGACATTCAGAATATTCTCCATCCTCTCAAAGGTCTTCCTTGTCCAGGAACACGTTAAAAGTTGCCATGATCACTCAAGTTCCTTTGAGTATTAACGAATACTTGCCGCCCAGGTATTCTTCTGTTCGGAAATCTCCGATATTCCCGCTCACCCTCTCGTGCATTACCATTACAGAATCCGTACAAAAAATGTATGTCTGCATATTCCTGATTTGTGAATTGTGGTATTTTGTAACAATACAATGTAAATTCAAATATCAATTGCTTAGTGTGTTCTGCAAACATGCGTGTCAACAAATATGACAAATATCAAAACTAACTGTCACGCTTTTTCTCCATAGCCACTACGACTTGATTGAAATATTGTGCGTTATTCTTGAGATGTATTGATATTTTTAAATAGATTTTACTCGAGAATGGTTCATCTAATCAACATGGAATAGGAGTATGTTTTTTCTGTAAAAATGTTCAGATATTTTTAATCCGAATCAAATTTTGGGATCGTTTTATCTCCACTGCATTAAGCATGAAAAGTTTGAGATTCGTACCAAATTTCATCATTTTATATCACGGCGTTTCGGAAATATTCAGGAAATACCATCTTCAGAAGCCCCCTTCAAGGTGGCCGTAGCTCCCTTAGAAGCCATTTTGAGACCTATGTTCATTCGAACTTTTCAATTTATTTTTGGTCGTAAAAGTCGCTGGTGAAGTTTGGCAGGCTAATTATAAGACACCCTACCCTGTATATCATCATGATATTAATGAAGTTGTGAAATTTTGGAAAATGTGTGGAAATGACGCTGAAGTCAGTTTTCAGATTATTCTAATTTGTGATTCGTATAAAATTCATTGAATATTCTTGATCTACTCACCACATCGAAATTACTAGAAGTCGTAAACTTTGGATTTACGATGAAAGGTACTCCATCCAAACTTGTCTGATAGCTTGCTCCAAGTGTATGTGTCATATTTGGATTCGTTACAGGCACTGGTGGCATTGGTGCAGGTCTAGATGGACCACCATTCCCTATTGGACCTACAACTGGTGATGTTTGAAACCCACCTGGTCGGAGAATCTCATAATCATTTTCAGAATCGGTTAAATTTGGGTACATAGGATTAGCTCCTGAGGACAGAGAGTTTGGTATCTGGGGTGGTCTTTCAGGTGGTGTAACGGCTGGGATGAGATCTGCTTGGGAATCTTGCACATTGCCCATTTTGTAGCAAATCGTCAGGCCGTTCAATTCTCTGAAAATTAAATTTATCAATTCTCACAATATTATGAATATACAGTATGATGAAACTGAAAGGAATAAATTCAATATTACGTAATTGGGTAATCTTATAGAACAATCCTGAAATCCGTCGATTTATATTTCAGACCGCGCACACTGCCAAATATTTTTTACCTATATTATTGACGTCATCAGGGTATTTCAGCGAGCTATCCGATCATATGAATTTTGGTTCCTAACAACAATTTGAATTGAGGAAATTCATATTCTGCTACCCAGCTGTTGTGTAGTAAAGGCTTTTGCTAGCGACTTTGGTGAACTGTGCATGTGTAGACATGGGATTATAGCCAGCGACCAAGTTACCAGAGGCATCTTGGGCACCAAGATATCTCCAGACCTTTCCCACAATATTAATTCGTCACATAGTGAAACTCGCCTATCTAAATATATAATTTTTTTAAATTCCTTCAATTTGGGATAATAGTACATTTTTCGAAACCACAAAGGCTATCGAATCGCATTGACAATACTTGAAAACAGAATACAATAATCATGTTATGAGTGATCTGTGATTTTGAAGGCAATTCATTTCCCTTACACAAAAGCAATTAGATATATTTCTTGATATGGTTAGAAAGCTGACTGAAAGACCTTTCAAATTACGTGTCACCTGCCCCACATTTCCATTTGAAAAAATCATCGATAACGTCTTCATGATCACACAGATGACATGAAGAATAATATAAAACATATGTAGTATGCGCAGGCCAAAATAAAAATCGTGCGGTTTCAAGATTTTGGCAGACGACTTTTGTAATTATGATCCGATTCTATTCAAAATTGGTATCTGGGAATTTTCGAGGTTGGAAATCATGATTTTTTGCGTGAAAATTGAGACATTCAAGATGTCGGATACAATATGACAAACGAATTTTGTAATTATGGTCCGATTATATTTAAAATTGGTATCCAGGAAATTTCGAGGTTAGAAATTTTGATTCTTTCGTCAAAATTGAGAAATTCAAGATGTCGGATTCATTAATTATGATCCGACTCTATTCAAAATTTGTATCTGGGGGTTTCGGGGTCGGAGATAATGATTCCTCCGTAATAATTAAAAAAATCGAGATGGCGAATTTAATATGTCGAACGAGCTTTGTAATAAATACCCAGCAAGCATGAATAGGCGATGAATTGCCGGGCGATAGCCATGAACAGCGGATATGTGTCGGCAGCGGCAAACCGATATCGGCAAAATGTTAAAATGACATCGGTTGTACGCCGCTGTCAATCCAACGCTGGAGACAATCTCCAAACACATATATTGTAGCACACTTTAGGGAATGTATGTATATTCTCAAAATTGTGATTGTAGTACCACAATAATATATCTCCAGAATCCTCATGCATTTTCTATGGTTGATACCAGCAAATTATCGTCTGACATCAAAAATTTTACAATATGTTATGTATAGATATATAACAGTTGTACTCGTTATTTACCAATTTATTTTTGAAGTATGATGACTGCTAGCTACGAATATTCGTTAATTATACAGAATGTTTCAAAAAAACCTGACCCCTTGCTAGGGTAGGTATAACACTGCAAAATGAAATGGGTTTGCTCTGTGAACAAATGTCGTAACGGCATCTATTTTCATGATACAAGGTGTTGAAAAAATGATTTTTTTTACACATTTTTCACGATTTTGTCGAAACTACTGGCAACATTGAAATGAAAATTGAAATGAAATTGTGTATGGATGTTTCTTGAAAAGTGACACATCACATGAATTTGTTTTTATATCTGACTCTCATAGAGGGCGCTAGTTACACGGTTCGTACCGAGTAGTTTAGAACATAACTTTTTTGAGGTAAGATTTTTCAATCCAATATATGGTATGAACTTGAACATCATTCAATTTTACACCAACAAGGTACTTTTGCTGTAACTCGATAGTATGTTCCGTTTTCGGAATATTTCTATTTGAAAATAATGGAGTAATAGCTGATGCTGGTATAAAATGAATTTTATTGAGTTCAATTACCTATTTATTCCGATTTAAAAACAATGAAATTATTGTTGTGCTGAAGTTATTGATAGAACAAAGAATCATAAGTAGAAAATTAAGAGAAATTTGACTCGGAACATGAAATATTGAATCAGAGTAAGTATTCAAAACGTCCTACGTTTCGACGAATACACGATTCTATATTCTTTTCTTAAGGATGTATTATCTTTCTAAACAGTTCAAGATCAGCTGTTAGGTCATTCAGGTGATGTTCAATTATGTCTTAGAACTCTTGACGTGAATTTATACCTATGTAGCATAGACTTTCTGCTCAAGACAGAACAAAACTGTGTAATCCATATGTTCTTAGTCAAATCTATTTCGATGTTATTCTTGTGATTCATTGTTAAATCAATAACTTCAGCATCAGAAATGTATTGTTGTTTCCGGTTTTCAATAAATATATGATAATTTTTCATAATACTCACTCTAATGGATAGCTTTATACCTGCAACGGTTATCACTTCATCATTTTCAAATCAAAATATTCCGAAAAACGAACACAGTATCGAGTTTCAAATGATGTTCAAGTTCACATCAAATTTGGATTGAAAAATCTAACCTCAAAAAAGTTATGTTCAAAACTACTCGGTACGAACCGTGTAACTAGCGCCCTCTATGAGAGTCAGATATAAAAACAAATGCATGCGATGTGTCAGATTCCAAGAAACATGTATACAAAATTTCATGACAATGTTGCCAGTAGTTTCGACATAATCTTGAAAAATGTGTTGAGAAATAATTTTTTCAACACCTTGTATCTTCATAACGGATGCAGTTACGAACTTTTTTTACTGAGTAAACACAACTTATTTTGCAGTGTTCTACCTACCCTAGTAAGGGGGTCATGTTTTTTTGAAACACCCTTTATAACAATGGATGCAGCAATACGAAGTCCAGTTATTTACCTATATTCGCCAGATATTTGATTCACAGTAATAGATCAAAAACAGGAAGAGCAATGTGGCGGTAACATCATCAGACTACACATATTCTACGCCATCAAAACAACCAAGTTATGATAGGTATATCGTATGATCAAAAATAATTGAAGCATTGTTCAATTTCAATTCTACTGACTGAGGAATTCATATTCCAATATTCGTCCAGTGCCGCAGAAGCGTAATGGAATAAGCGTTCGAGACCGAATCTCTCTTTTTTTATTTCTAGCCGAATAGTGTCGGTGGCCTACTGGCGGCCAATACGACACGGGCTAGCCGGGCCAAAGATGTTTAATGATTGTGGCTCGCTGATGGTTGTCTGTCGGAAGTTTTTGCAGGGCGTCTAAAGGCTCGCGCGATATATGTTTGCAAGGTAGTGTTTTGAAAAACACGCTTTTATGGATGGTCAAATTGAAAAGAAGCAAAAAATAAATAGAAGTTTAGAAAACTAAAAAGATACATTAACCAACTGAAGAGAAGTAGAAAATGAATAGAAGTTTGGAGAACTGAGGAAAAACGCTTTTATGGTTAGTCGAACCAAAACTCAGTTGCAAATGAAGTGAGAAAAGTATGTTGTTGAATATTTGAATTTGATTAAAAAACATTTTCTGGATATAATGTATACAGTGTGTCCCAGATTCGCATCTCTATACAGGGATTGTTGTTCTAATTCATTATTTCAAGAATACCCTGTGTAAAGTAAGAACCTACTGTATTTTGTCTATGCATGGTTATTATGTAAAAAAAAAGTTGATACTGAATAATAGTAATAAAAAAATATAGAGTTTTCGTTCTTCGTAGCCGGATTATTATTGAATTATACACCTCTCTAGGTAAATATCATCACAAACAATAACATATGGTTCTTCGAGCCGGATCATTATTGAATTATACACCTTTCCAGGTAAATATTATCAGGAACAATAACAAATGGCCCTTCATTGCCTTTAACGAACTACACTGTGGAGAAATTGATAGCACATATGTCTGGTATAAGAACGAGACTAGCTGAAAAAAGGCAATGGCTGGAGCTGAAAAAACTTCGAAACCCATGAGTGTGGATGGGTCAATGACTTCTTCTGAGAGATCAACTATGGGAAAGAATCACGACGAGAAGATTTCCATCGGGAGTTCTTTGAATGCAGACAGCAAGAAGAAAGAGAGAGAACAGTCTTCACATGGGTCCAAAATAGTAGCCACGACGAGAAGAAATTATACGATTAAGCAAAAGCAAATGGAAATTGAAGTGGAAATATAGAAAAGAGAACTAGAACAAGAGGTTTTGAAGAAACAGCAGGAGATTCTGCATCTACAACTGGCAATGAGGTTGGCACAAATAGAAAGTGATTCATCTGACGAGGATGGAGAAGATATTGGGTCAGCTTACAATGAGTCAGTGGTGAGCAGAGGTCCAGATGTTCAAAAATGGGTCAGAGGTGAACTTCCATGGAGCGAGCCATCGGACTGTGAAAGGTGACAGGTATCGAACACGGAGTATCTGCAGGTATGTGGTCTTCATAAATCGGAAATATATTCTACGAACAATGATGTTTGTCGTGAAAGATGTCAAATTCAACAAAATGACATTTCGAAAATCTTAACAAGACAGAGTGTTCCGAGAGATTTGCCTATCATTACTGGCGATCCTACTGAATGGCCTCACTTTATTCAGCAATATAGAAATTCAACAGCTTTGTGTAATTACTCTAATGAAGAAAATCAATGTAGGCTTCCAAAATGTTTGATGGGAAACGCAAAACGTATAGTCCAGTCTCTATTGATTCTACCACAAAACGTTGATGAAGTGATCAAACTTTTAGAAACACGTTTTGGACGCCCGGAGCATATAATTTATTCACTTTTAGATTGAGTCAGGAAGTATTCTTCAGTTAGAGAGGATACATTCGAAATGTTGATCGAATATTTGGATGAAGTTAAAAATCTTGTTGCAACAATTGATACTCTAGGAGAAGAGGATCATTTGCGAAATCCTTTATTGT